AATACTGAAAAATTCAGCCCATGCCGCTAAAAAAATCTTTATTGCGAGGATCAGGTTAATGCTGTTAAGGAAATATCGCTGTTTATTCTGAGAATCACACGAAACCCACTAAGTACGCTGTGGGCATAATGATCAGTTGTCGATTGTTAAAAACAGATGGTACACGTAGTTACCACCAGTCTCCAACTGTTTAATTCCTGATTCCAGGTTACTGGTCAGCACTTCAGTAATGTCCTGAGTTACATAACTTAATTATGTGGTAGAACAGGTGTCCATGCCGTTCATCGAGAAATGGCTTATCTGTGTTCCCGAACAGCCCCGCAAATATCTTATGAGATCTGGTTCTGTATCTTCAGATGTCACATGTAGTAATTTTGCTGACATTACACGAATTGTACTTACATACGTCCTATATTTTGTGGCTTAGGATATAAAGCACACTATATTCCCTTCAGAATAGGCATACTTAGTGTACAATTGATAACATTGTATTTGCTCATATTAAGATCGACACGTAAACTATTCAACCATTATATTTCGAGAATTGTATACTATATGGATGCATGCTTATTGTATTTTGAAACTTACCAATAAATTCTATTGAACCTCGGCGCATATAATGCATGTAAATCCATTTAATGTAGCGTTTCAAAATAAGGTTAGGCCTGTGTTTGAATGCGCGTTACATTCGGGTAAATGCGACGTATCGTTATAGACCAAAACTGTTGTTTCTTGTGCAGAAAGGATTTTGTGAACACTAGTATTGTCAACATCTTCCCATTTTGTATTTGAATGTATCGTATCTCATATTCGATTTACCAGTTTGATGCAAAACTGTTTATGAAGATGAGCTGCTGAACGGGATGTGGTTAGTGGTCTAGCCCAAAAGATAGAAGTGCCGGGGGCAGGTTAAGCTTGAAATGTGCATGTGTGTTGCTGTTCGTAATGATGGATTCACGCTCTCAGCTGTAGAACTGAACAGTGAACAGATCACGAAATGAACATACTTAAAGAAATTGATGCTCATTCCTCCTTAAAACCTCTGAAGCCGAAACTTGTCTAAATAATAATTAAAGATTCAGACCGTACGTCAAAGAAAACAGTGCCTCTCCATTAACAAGGCTGTTCAACACTGCTCAGGAAAATAACTGCTGTTTACTTTGAGAATGTATGAAGCCCACATACACGATATACGATACATTCTGTTGGCAAAATCCAGAGTCAGTGATTGTTAAAGTAGGTGTTGCAGATAAATGTCACTGAGATTTAAAGGGTTAAAAGAAGTACCAGTGTGACTCATCGTGGCACCGTTCTGTCTGGATTTTGACACTGAATATATTAGCTTCATTCTTGAGTTATGTTTGTATCTTGGGTGAAGAATCTGTTATTCTTATAGAAGGTTGTATTGTAGTTTCTTCAGTTTTGGCAGGATAGCTCCTTGAAGTCTTATCTAAATATCCAGCAATTACTCTGCCCTTAAATAGCATTTTAATCATGAATACAAACTCTGTTTTAAAGGCGATCATTTGTATGAAGGAGGCGAAGATAAAAACATTAAAATACGTATGGCTTATTTAGAGGAAACAGCACATTTTAAATGTTTCGAAATGTTTGCTTCTCATGATGTATTTGAATATGATTCCCTGACCTTTTACAGTGTTGCAGATAGCCACTATTAAAGACAGGCCAAGTATTACTATAAATAATTTCTGAGCCCATAAGCATTTGGACCTAATTGTATTTTTCTCGCTGTTTCCGTTGTTTGCACTCCAATGTACTATCTGTCTGAGAGGAGAATTGACTCTACCTTCAAACAAATCTGCGCAGGCGCATGGCGTTCTAATGCGCGGTACAGAAACACCGGTTGACTTAGTTGTGTATTAGTTTTCTAACTTTGTAGTGTTTCGTGTAATTCTCATATTTTTAATATTTCATAGTTTATATAGAATTTAGTATATTAGTTGGGTCACTAGTAACACCAGTGGTATCAGATATCATACAAACTGCTCCAACAGTAGGAACATTTTAAAATAGAGGCATTGTTTTTAGGATAGCATTTAGCATTACTTCACGGCTTGAAGGTCGAATTGATTCTCTGCTCATACAGACAGTAGTATAAGTTATATTACCAAGAAACGATTGTTACTGTCTAACCAAACATATCAATGTCAATAATGACGACAAAGCAAAAACATTTACGCATTTTGTTAACACGTCTTCGAAGCTCGGAATTGTTTTTCTACAAATGAATAAATAACTTAAACCTTGCTACTTGTAGATCCGTGGGAAGCTGTCTGTTGAGAACATCCTGGCCATCTGGGCGATGGTGATATTGTATTTGTATAGCCATATTGTTTTATGAGAGATTCTGACAATTTTCCTTGATTGTAGGAAGTCTGTGTACTTGTGATGATTCTTGCGGAGGTCCCTGAAGATGACTGAATAGACGAAAAATACCGAGATTATATCACACAATTAATAGTTGTAGGTTACTGGTATTGACGGTAGGATTGTAGTAAACAGTGGAGTTAATTTGTTTGTTTAACGACGCTGTCATTGCGCAATTATATGAAGGCCTGCGGTCTAATGATATGGTGATAATGAACAGTGATTTGGAGAGGATATGGAAAGAGGCGATCGTGGCGTATTTCTGGAAAGATTTTTCTTTGCCGCAACATCCAGACCAGCTCTGGGGTCTACCCAGCCTTATAAACAATGGGTACCAGCTTCTTTGCTTCAGAGGTAAAGCGGCTGGGACTTGAAATTGACCATTAATGTGTGGAGCTATGCCTCTACTCCCCCCGTACGTCTATATGACAGGTGTTTATTTGTTTGGAGGCATTGAGTAAAACCACGAAACACCAAATTCATCGTACCTTGTCTCGAGGCCGAGATTTGAGCCGGGAATCACTCGAATACGACGCAGGGATGCTAACCACTCGGCCATCTCTTTTTGTTGTAGACTTACTGTGACGTTAGCATGACTCTCCGTGGAAAATTTGCATACAGTTACACTTATTGTATTAACGTTTATGGTTTTCAGAAACATCCCAACAATTTAAACGCTGTTAACAAATCTACGGATCGTATTACTTAATGTGAAGACTGAGTCATTGCAATAACATTTGAGTATACTTATGTATTTTTTATGAGTGAACTCAGTTCTACTATTTAATCCTTTTGGAAATTGTGTTTTTAATATGTAGTTGGTATAACCTGTTATAAAGCTATGGTCTGGACTGGCGAAATGTTACGGGTAACATGTAATTCTCATATACTTGTCCGTCTTATTTTTGCTTTCTTTTCCTGTGGTGTTTGGAAGACGTAAATTGTAGGCCCCGAGGTTAGAGGTTCATAGCAACAATGCGGTGATTAAGGTGCACCGTTTTAATAAGAATACCTGCGCATTGCCAATCCATGGCCCACCTTAAACAAAAAGGAAACACGTTTCTCCGCCCACTCTAACCTCAATTATGAGTAGAGTCGAAAATAATCAGCAGATGCATGTGGAGGGATATCGAGGTAGAAGAACATTAAGGATCAGGCTAGAACGCAATCAAATTAGAACTAATCCCAACAGGGCAAACTAAACGTGCGAATAGGAAATGTAATTGCAGAGGGGGTGTAAAAATGGGAGGGGAATGTTGGGAGAAATAAAACGAGGTAATTTTCTTTCCTCCAAAATCTTGAGAATTATCATACCGTTTTGAACCTTCGTTGTATGGAAAGCAACTAGCAGACTGCTAATTAAAACAGGACATTTAGCTCCCAACCGAAACTTTTCGTAAATGTTTTGTGTATCTCGCTATTTATACCTAATAAGGGGCAATTACGAAAACTGTTTTCTGTGTGCACCCTTTAAGTGTAAGCGTTGGCTTCCAACACTAATTGTCCGTTCAGAACTGCATTTGAAAAAGTTACTTTCAAATTGCCCAAGCTCTCAGAATTGCTTTAGTTATGTGTGTTACCTTTATTTCTCTCTAAAAGTTTCTTCCATTGTCTGTTGCATTAACAAGCTGACACTGAATTGGTTTGTCTGTCATTTTCGTGGCCACTCTGTTAAGATCATAAAGTGACGCTGAGTGTCAAAAGCCTACTTAAACAAACCGATGTGGGATGGGGTTATTTGTAGTAGTAGGAAAAACTGAAGGATATTCTAACCCTTTCCATGCTGTTTCTTAGCAAAGGAAACCCTATTCGTCTAATACGTTTCCAGGGCAGTGAGCAATTTGTAGCGATGCTGTAACGCTGCAACAGCTTTTGTTGCTGATAAATGTCGGGTGGGATATTTTTCACCGATCTTGTCAAAATACGAATAAACCAGCATTTTCAAGCGCGATATTTCGTGCATAACTTTATAAGGGGTTAAAATCGTTTAATGCTGTTATTAACCGGGATAAAGCAAACAAAGCTTTATAAATGAAATTTCAGGCCCCCACCGTGTCGTGTATGATGATGGCCCATGTAGACTGGTACAGTCAATAATATCTTCTAAGCTTCGAAACTTCGTACACTGACCACATTGGCAGGTTTAATGATTTACACATAAAAGATTTTACAGAATTTCTGAGCTGTCTTACTGCGTACCTAAAAAGACGTATCAATTGCCATGAATTCTAGAAATGGGCGTATTCAAGCTGCCGCCATGTTCATGTTTTTAGTTTGTAAATAGCGAAAGCTTTCATTGCTATCTCGACTTGTTATAAAAATAAACTGATGTACAATAATAAAAATGCTTACTGTATATTTCCCTTTATCAGTGTTTATAATTTACTTTCGTGACACTGCACAGTAGAAGCCTTTGTGGTCGCTTAGTGACTGAAGAGGGAGATGCAGACCCTTGGACGATAGGTTCTTATACAGATATCGAATGAAAGTAATTGTAACACTTCAAAACTTTTAAGAGGATCAAAAGGCAGTTTTGATCGTTCTAGATCTTCTCCTTCCTGCTTTCAGCTTTTATTAGATGTCGCTCACATGTGCGTATGGTGTGTTTGCAGATCTGTGACGTGACTCCAGCAAGCTGGCCGCGAGTACCGTCACCAGTATGAACCCCCATTACCACCCCTACACGGAGTTAAACTCCCCTCACTCCCCTCCCCCTGATAACAACAATTACCACGGTCATCCCCCACACCCGCATCACCCCGGGTCGCAGCCCATGAGCAATGGACACGTGATGGGGCCGAACCATCATCACCACCACCCTCCAGGAAGCACGGGCCCCCCACCGCACCCTGGACCGCACCACGACCACCACCAACACCCACACCATCAACATCCACCATTTGGAAGCGGGGGTCCACCACCGGGAGGTCCCATGCACCACCCGCACCATCACCACCTCAACAATAACAACAACAATAATAACAATAACAACTGTCCGACGGTGAAGGTGTGCGCGGGGTGTGGCGGGAAGATCGTGGAGCGGTTCCTCCTGCACGCACTCGACCGCTACTGGCACAACGGATGTCTCAAGTGCACGTGTTGCGGTGCGATGCTAGCGGACATCGGCGGCTCCTGCTTCACTAAGGCCAACATGATCCTCTGCAAGAACGACTACTACAGGTAGGAAACCTCCTCTCTCATGTCATCTGTCGGCGGCATTCAAGTTTCTTTTCGCTGTCTTTCAGACGCGTCCCTAACGACGTGCAGATAAACCCCGAGCGATGCGTGTTCACAGGCCTTTTTTTTTTACAAGATTTTGAGTCTTAGGAACAGGTAAACGATTCGTTCATTTCGTGAAAAGACAGGGGAGCAATGGGGAAATTTGCGAAAGGCTCCGCAAATGTAAAAAATAAGTTGCTGACCAAGAACAAGCATTTCTTGACCTCCTCCAGTAACTTCCAGCCATCTTCATTTAAATTTATAAAATTATGTACTACAGAATTTTTGGCCATTACCCATGGCAGGACTACAGTGCGCCAACATAAAGACAACATTTAATACAAAAATTATCATTTTGTACCCACTATATGTATGTTAAATTATTCTTTGTATTTTATTATGGAATTTTGTCACTTTCAGTCACCGGGAGAGGTCTCAGTCACCAAGGTTACTGTTGTAAAATGTGCGCTTAGGGACCTAACCTGCTCTCTTAATATGGACTGTATGGAAAAACAGACATTCGATTTACACGTTTTCGCATAATCAGCTTACGCGCCATACCGCTGCATGCATTTAAGTCCTGTGAGTGACCAAGTATTCATATAAGATTGATAAATGGACATTTGTATCCCACGTCGTGTATTATTAGTTTGCACTGTTGTGGAAGAAATTAAGGCTTAAGTGCTACCAGAATACACAACGAATAAATTAAATTGTTCTTCTCGCCCCTTTGTCGCTGAATCATGCCTCAAGGATGAACGATAAGCCACAGAAGACAGACATTTCTGCCCAGTAATCTCATACTTAAGGTTAATTGTATACATAATTGGACTATGAACATTTGTCTTTTTCTGTTGTAATTATCGTTTTTTTAGATTGGGGAAAAAGTTGGCCCCTTAGTTCATCGTATCTGGAATGAAATTTATTTATTAGATTAAGGAAATAGACACCTTTGGTACAATAATAACAAGGCCTGGGTACCATCGTATTGTTTCATTGAGTAATGTAGCTTTAAGCCTTTCGGGGGTGGACGAAGAACGTGTTTCCTCTCTGTGGCATCCGAAGAAATCAATAATCTGTACCACGTATATAGGTATTACACAGAGTTAGCACCAAATAAAGTGACACTTTGTGACCGCAGATTATTGGAATAATGCTGGCTTTTTATCTAGCGCAAATGTGTCGCTTTTCATTAAAATGGATTTCGTAAGATAGTCGCTAGGTTAGAAGTAGACAATTATTTTTAAGTCCAGGTTGGCTAGTTGAATCCCCATAATGTTTTTTCAGTACCCAAATTTCACTCTCTGAAGAAAAGTGTTATTACCAAGTACCACCTACTTTGGCATTTTATGACTGTATTTTACCCACAGAGCTTATATATGGGTTTTCTACAAACAGATTGTTTCTCTGAAAAGTATTAACGAATTTGCTCTTGTAAAGAAGGCGCGTTGTATTAGATGCCAATTGTAAATAGCTTCTTGTTAGATAAAGTAACTTGGCTATCAGTTTGACTACGGGTGGACTGTACGGACAAGTCGTGATACCTCGGATATGAAGCATAAAGAATCCCTCTTCGGATGCCGAGTGAAGAAAGAGTTTGAGTTGTCCCTGGGGGCACTAGAGGAGCTACTTTGCTCCATTTGTTGCGGGTTGCAGCTCCTTCATCCTGCTCGGATTCCCCCTGCTTCGACCCCTAGCCAGAAAGAAAATATATGAGGAAAGGTGAAGGTCTGAAGCAAGATCATAACATGTCGGTAGTCAATCATGAAGTCACATTTCAGCGCAGCCATGTGCTTTGTAACAGGACTTGAACATGCTTCGTCCATCTTCACGGTATAAGCACGATGCAGGCGCAAGAAGAGAAGCTGAAAGTGCAGTCAAATATAATATTTATAACACTTGGGAAGCCTGGGAAATCAGGTATCCAAAAAATGCATCGTTACCTGTGAATTTCCTGAATGCGATTTAGGAACGTGTTAAATTTTAACACGAGGCGTGTTTTAAAACCTATAATTTTTAAACATTCTTAAATTGGAATATTAGTCGAAGCATAAATTGGCTAAACGGCCTGATCTATGTTTATGATGAGTTACAATTGCCAAGAAGATTAGGATAGTAATTTGAAAGTGTTGCCATGGAAACGTTCGGGGCCTGGAAGGTAGTGACGACGTGCTGTCAGTAAGGAGTACTTTGTCTTTGGAAAACGAGGAAATACTTGGGTCAGTGATCTCTGAGAAAACCGGTACTGGAGGATAGTATTGAGCACGTACAGCTGGTGATGAACGACGATGACACCGACCTCTAGTGACCGCAGGTAGAATCTAAAAACAAGCTGTTCGAAGTCTTATAGGTTGAAGTTTTCTGACATTTTGAAACTTCAAAAGGAGATTTTCATTTTTGAACCTCGGCATTACAAATTTGTACTGGAGGAGGGGCGGAGACGCATTGTATAACTTATTCGGAGGTGACGTTTATTTTGGTCGTAGATAGTTATTGGCATACGAGGAAGCATTTCAACGACCAACTGCATGGTCCTGGAGATTTCTTGGACTGTTGGCAGTTGTTTAACCACTCGCCAAATTTTCTGCTTTCTTGATAGGCTCATCGCAGTATTCACAAAAATCCGCCATTGCATATTATTTACAAGCATTAAATAGAAGACATGGTTGGTCTAGCTGAAGAATGAGGCATGTACCACAAGTTCATTCCCGGGTGGTGAGGGTGGCACAGCAGTGACCATACGTAATCCGCACCTCATGTGCCCACTGTTGTACTGTGGCACCGTAAGTGCCGAGCCGCTACTCTCCGGGGATGCCTCATTGAAAAGAAGGTAGGAAAGTGACGACTGGAAAACGCGCCGGATTGTCGGCAGTTATAGATTCGCCTCGATACGTAGCAGTCACAAAACTTCAAGTGCGTTTATTCCCTTTGTAAACATGCGGCAGGCAAGAGATTTGGTCATGCGTAACTCCGCTGTTCCGAAGTGGAGAACATAGGTCTTTAACCAAAATAGTTCTTAAACTGCGGAAGTATATGGAGGTGAGTGGTCAGGTGGACACTTCCGCGGTCCTGTTTTCCTCGAACTCGGCTCAGTATAGCCTACAAAAAATTGGTCTTTTATCTAAGTGTCATAAAAGACCAGCCTGGTTAAGTTGTGTGACATTTGTTTTAAACGTGCCGTAATATTTAGCGAAATGCAGTGAAAATAGTTTTGTATTATTCTGCTGCTTTTCGCCATATGTATGTAGTGGAAAGTAAAAATCATGACCACAGGTGTGCAACATCCCAAAGAACGCATTTGCAGTACTCCGTTGGAGTAGGACCTGCAACTTTTCACTCTTGTTTGAATTTAAACATTTCACAGTTTCTCCAGGCCACAGTATTGTAGAAATTTAGTTTAGCTGCGAAAAATCGTGACTGAGGGAGCGGGAAGAAGAACAGATGAATCTGAAGTGCCCCGATAAAGCAGTGAAGCCAGTTGCAAAGTAAATGCAGTAAAACGCCTTCATTAGCGACAAGTCCGTGAAGCTTTTCGTTGTTAAACAAAACCACAAAGTGTCTGGTCGTAAAAGGGTATATAAATAGAGAGAAGCTTATTTTTTATATATATTCTTTACTTCTCCATATGTACTTCCTCCAGAGGAGGGCAGTGACGTAGTGTGATGTGCTGCGGGTGGTGAGCCTCCAAGGGGAAAACTCGATTTGTTGGGGCGCAGAAGTGACGGGAGAGCGAGGCCTGGCAATCAGCTAGATGGGAGACAAGGCGAGGGAATGCGCCCAATCAGGACGGGTACTGCAATAAGTTTCGTTCCCTCACTGCCAATCAGCCCACATACACACAGTTGTATTAGGGAATTTCCCTTTTTTCCCCGTTCGTTCCGTGATCTAGCAGTTTCTTTCTAGCTGTAGTCCACTGGTGTTAGGTCAAGGGATTTGTTTTTCTTTGTATGGGAAACACAGTTTAGACGAGGAATTTTTTCGTTATCTTTTCCATACCATTTATAAGATTTTTCACTGTATCGTATTAGTCAATATTATTAGCGTGCGTTATTTTCAGGTTGAACACGAGTGAAGTTCTGGTCTGTCATAATTTAACTCGAGACTTTTTTACATTTTCATCTTCACGCTACCGCCGCTTTAACCTCGGTGCCCACTGGACTGGATGGGCCCGGGGTTGATGTTAACGTGATGGCGAAAACAAAGCTTTAACTGATAATTAGTATAATAGCATAATAGTACAGTAGTAGTAATTTGAAAGTTCTGTTGGCGTCTCTCCGCACGTGGAAGGTTTTTGACCTTGTAAAGTCGGAAGTTCTAGTTAATTTATGAACAAATTATTGTATTTCGTTAATATCTTACTGCCATATATTGTTTTTTCGAGGTTCTTCCCTGGTACTGCTTTTAATGTTCGACACTAGAGGTACACATACGTAACGCGAGAGGTCCATGCCTCGAAGCTACGCTTTAACAAAATACTTTCCATAGAGCCAGACATATTTTGGGGCCAGTGGTTCCTCGTGATCATTTATCTTCGTCTCGATGTAGTCTGCTTTTTAGGTTTGGTCGAATGAGATCTTCAGTAAAATATTTTGAAGGATGGTGTTCACGTACTGATAGAACCTCGCGTAACTTGAGTTATGAGCCCAGTGTTTGCCCCAAAAATCGTATTGTCTGTCACAGGAATGTTACCAATTCATGTTTATTGCTGTGGAATTAAGTTATGATCCGAATGGCTCTCAGATCGGGAGATTGTAATGGTCAGATGGTTTGAATCAACAAACAAGCGGACGAAAGATGTGGACATCCGAATAACATAATTTCCATGCCGGGTTGAGGTGTACAGGACTTGGTGATTCCACCTCTCTGCACTGTACACAGTGAAAGAAAGTAGATTGCTGTATTATGGGTTGTAACGCAGTGTAGTCTGGTAGAAGTATACCGACGTTTCAGAGGTTCTTCCT